TCTGTGTTTTGTATTTGTGCCTTTTTCTTCAGGTATCTCAGACTCTGCTCTCAAACCTTTGAAAATCCATAGAAAACCATCCAGAAAGACATTGCTATAAATAGCAGAGGATTCTGTCATCCATGTGTCTGGGAATAGTTTCATTCACTGGTTTGATTTTTAGATAACACAGATGATACACAGGCACTCCCAGCACCTGTCCCTGAGTTACCTGTGGGTACCAAAGCATCATGTAATGGTATCCCCTCAAAACCACAGAAACATCTTTATATTGGCTTTTTGGGGACCTCTTCATATTAGCTTTTTTGGAGGGTGATAACCTGTCAAATATTAATCCAAATATCAATATTAATAGTCGCCCCACAGCAATGGATGTGAATTATCTTCCCAGAAAACTGAGATTTCCTTTTCAGCCTTTTGGATTGTTTGAGAAACACAAAGTAAACCTCATGAACGAATAGCTGCCAAAAAAGAAAAAACCTGTTATAATTTTGGGGGTGAGCAGGGAGGGAGTGGGGCACAGGAGCTGCCTGTCCATCCCACTGTCACTCTCCATTCCTTCCATTCTGCTTTGTGGTGTAGCCATGGATGGTTTCACCACCTGTGGGGCTTCACAGCTTTGACACAACAGAACTGACACAAATATCCAGAGCCAGCCAGGGCAAGTGGCTGCATTTGGGGGTAATTCCTTGGCTGAGATTAAATTCACTGATCTCTTCACACCTAAGGATGATTTACTTCCTTTCATCCTTCCAGCAGGGAGTAAAAATGCAAAACTTTCAGCTCAGAGGTATTTTTCCAAAGAAAATTATCTTCAGCTGTGGTCATCGGTAATTTGGGAGCCCCTGCCAGTGAGATTTTGCCTTGAGCTGATTGCCTTGGCTGAGCAACTGAAGAGCAGCTGGAAGCTGGCCAGAAATGGCTTTTGATTTTTGCTTGTAAAAGAAAAATAGAGGAAGAGAACCGAACCAGCATGCTTTGGTAAGGCAGAAGGTTTTTGTGATTATTCTCCCTGAGAAGGGAGACTTCCCCTTGGAGGGGACTCTGGGAAGTGAGGAAGAAGCAAAAGGTGGTTGCTGAAATGAGAGTTTCCCCTGTGGTGGAACTCTGCAGACCTGACCATTCCTTCACCCCAGCATTGAACCCTGTGCTGGCTGCCCACTGTCCCCCACCTGCTGGAACTGTTCCAGTTTGGTGTTTCTGCTCCTGGGGAAAATCAGGCTGGTGGAACAAACCATCCCTGTTTTACTCAGATAATTTCCATGGTGTGTGGTGGCAGCAGAGGAGGCTGCCAGGCTGCTCCAGCCACTGGGATAGAGGGCTGCAGCACCATTACTGCCATTATCACTTTCTGGATAATGTGTACACACACACTTTCACCATCACAAAGTTTTTCTCCTTCATTTTTCATGAGAACTGGCATTAGATTAATGGTTAAGCCATGGCAGAAATGTAACGCCATGCCAGTCTGATTTATTGACCACTTAGTGCTGATGAAGCTTCAAACAAGAGTCAGACAGATGTTGCAGTTGCATTTTTCTTCATCAAAACCAACGACTTGTTGTGTTTAACCACTTGTGGCACCATCTCCTGTGGAGGCAGCAGTGGAGGCAGTTCCTGTGCCACTCTGAGGAGGCAGGAGGAGCCAAGGAGCTTTGTCCAGGTCAGGGACAGATGGCAGCACCTTCAGCTTGGGTTTGGGGGAAGCAAAGCAACTCTGCTGAGGCTGCAGGCACTGGGATGATGGGCAGGATTTGACTGGGATGATTTCCAGCAGGAATATTTCCCAAGCCATCTGCAGCCCAATGCAGGACTCCCCTCATTCCCCTCTGCCACCCCACTGAAGGGTTTCTGCCCTGGTGTCCACTCTCCTGATGCCTTTCACATATAGAAGTTATATTTGTATTTTGTTCTTTCACATCTCTCTTGCTCTCCTGGTAGGTCATCACAAATAGTGATTTGCTGCTGATTATGAGTTTTTCCAAAACATATGCATGCTGCTCATTCGTGTCAAAACATTTCAGTTCACCAAGTAGATTGGCATTCATGAGATTTGTCATTCTGAGGTCAGCTTTTAGATGCAGGCATAAGGAACAAATCTGCTTGGTTTGTGCTTGTTTTATATGCTTTTATGTTTAAAAAGTAGAAATTCCAGTGAAGTCCACTGCTGAGGTGCACTTGCCTGTGCAGGAGGCCCCATAATCCTGACCTGCTTGGTGACAAACCAGCACTGTCAGGCTGGGAAAAATACAGCTTACCTGAGAGAAGGCAGAAGCACCTGCAGAGCTGCCACATCACCCCCTGCTGTGTCCTTGCTCCCTTCTCTGAAACCTCCCTGGAGCAAGAGGTGTATTTACATGAAATCTCTGAAGCATATTACTTTTTATTACTTCATCATCTAGATCACTAATGATGTTAAATTAGCTGATGGAGACTATTTGGGTGTATGGGTGATCATTTTTACTATCTGAACCTCTTGTGAGTTATGCAAGAGAACTGTGATGTTTCAGACATCCCCTTTGTAGGATGAGAGGTTGTGATGATTTTCTGTGTCCTCTGTCTGGGGCAGATGTGCCTGTGAAAAAGAAGGTTTTGAACATTTCACAACTGGACACAAAAGGTCCAGTTGTTTGTCTCAGAAGATGTCTTGGTTTGAAAAGACAGATGTCTGCTGAGGAAGGCAGGAGCCTCTCTTGAAATGGAAAATGTAAATCTCTTCTTTCTGATTTATTTTAATTTTGACATTAAGGGGCTCTCAGGCAAAGATGTGGGAGCAGGAAATAGCAGTTTTTTATTAGGAAAAATAAAAATAAAAGTGCAGTAATGCAAAATAACACTGAGAGAGTCAGAATAGATGTGTCCCCCTGTGTGTCAGGGCGGTGTCCCAGCCCCATCCCATGGGGGCTCAGCTCTCCTGCAGTGCCAGCTGTGGTTCTGCTGGAGCAGGATCCTGCACAAGGGGGGAGTTTTCCTCTGCAGCTCCAGGAGTGCTGTAGATGGCCCTGATCTTCCTCTGGGAATGCAGTGGGAAAGGCTGTTGGTGTTTTTCCAACCCTCAGATTGGATCCAGGTAGGAATGCTTGGCTCCTCCCCTGGGCGGAGCATCTCCCCATGGGATGCTGGGATTGGATCAGCCATGCAGGGACACACAGTGGCCACTCAGAGATCTCCTGTTGGGAGATGGGTTGTGGAAGGGATAAATAAAAACTGCCTCACCTGGTTCTGACAGATGGCAATAGAACACACACCCCTGGCCACATCCTGCATTTACAGCCTAAGGCAGAATAATCCTGGGAATAGAAGAGCCAACAGTTTGCTTCTCTTTGGCACTTCCCAAGACCACTCTGAAATATATTCTTAGCTGTTCCTTACAAGGTTTCTTTGCCTTTTCCTGTGCAGTACAGCTCTTTTAGCACTGGCTGCAAGAATTTGATACTGCTTTCTCACAGAATCTTCACTAAGAATCCCCTGCTTGCAGTTCTGTCCATAGAGGGAGAAAATGCAAGTTCCTGCTTGCATGTTTTCCTAACCTAAGGAAATTTCTCCTAAGCTCTTTTGAGCTTGTCCTCCAGACAGAGGGATGTATCTGGTTGCAGAGGGGGTTACAGAGAGGCTGCTCTGCTTTTCATCTTGCTGTGCACCACTGCCAGTCCCTTCTTGGCCAGCCTGGAGGAGCTGGGAGCCATGAGCAGCCCCCCAATCCTGGGGATGTGCAGATGCTCCCTGTGGGTGCAGGGTGCACAAGAGGGGTCCTGGTCACCCCACACACCCCCTGCCCCTGCCCTGGGCTGCTCTGGGTGCAGCTCCAGCATGCTGGGGTTCAGTGCTGTGCTTTGCCCACCAGAATTCCCTCCCCAGCTCTCCTTGGTGAAGGTGTCCCTGTCCTGCTCCAGCTCTCCCCTGGTTTCACGAGCAAGTGCTCCCATCAGCACAACCTGTGCAATTGGATGATGGGTTGTGTTCCCACTCCCCCTTGGAACAGGGCTCTAACAGCATTAATGAAACATTACAGTTTTAATTACACCATTATCCTATTTATTTTTATAAATAATTCCAAAGCAGTCATTAAAGTTTGCGAACTTAGGAGTAAATTACTTAGGGGAAAGAAATCATCTCCTCAATCTTGTTATTATCTATTGAACAATCTCCCTGGGACGCTGGTGGGGAACTGGCAGGGTTGTTTTTGCTGCTGCTGTTAAGATGATTCATTTACTCACAGGGTGGGGACAGAGCTCAGCTCCTGCTCCAGGTGTGGTGGGACAAGCAGTGCAGTGTGCCAGGGCAGGGTCTGTCCTGTGGGGAGAGGAGAGTGGGGTCAGCTGTGGGGTCTGCTGTGGGATCAGCTATGGGATCAGCTGTGGGGTCAGCTGTGGGGTCAGCTGTGGGATCTGCCTGCAGGAACCAGCACCTCCGTCCTCCTGCAGCTGTCCTGCCTGCCAAGGGCTTTTCCAGCCCCAATCCTCTGCAGTTTGCAAACATCTTCAAAAAGACAAGGAAGGAATTACTGGCTTGTCTGTGAAGAGCCATGTTTGGGGTGCTCTGTGATTCTGATTGTAAGCCTCCTCTGCCCTTCCCTCCTGTCACTGTATGGAGAGTGTGGCTGTTCCTCATGTTCTCAGGTGACTCTCTGTATACTAAAAAAAAATGATGTGGTCCAGAACTGATGGAAGCATTGTCTCAAACCAGCAAAAGGTTCTTTAAACCAAAGCATATTACCTGGTGTTCATTGTCAGTGATGTTCGTAGGAATGAATATTGCAGGTATTTGGTGTTGCAAGGGTTGGAAAAGAGGTTCATGCTGAACACACCAGTGGAGCAGGAGAGTTGCAAGCACGAGGGAAACCATGTGCAAACTGTGACCCACTCCTCTTTTAAAGAACAGCTCCTATCTTTACAATCTGGGCTCTGCTCATGATGCTTGCTGTCTGAGTTTTCATTAGGAAGTTAAATGCAGAGAGTGCTGGCCCCAGGAACATAACCCTTGCTGTGCTGTCCCTGCAGAACCCAGACATTGTGTTGGTGCACTACCTGAACGTGCCGGCCATCGAGGACTGCGGCAAACCCTGCGGGCCCATCCTCTGCTCCATCAACACCGACAAGAAGGAATGGGCAAAGTGGACAAAAGAGGAGCTCATCGGGCAGCTCAAACCCATGTGTGAGTATCTGGGGCTGCTTTTGCTCCTTTACTGTGTGTTTAGAGTCTCTCACATCCTGTGAAGGAGTCATTTGTCCATCCAGCTCAGCTTGTATCTGCACACACTTTCTGTCCAATATTTAACACTCCTGGGATGCATGGTATGAGAGCTGTCCCCAAAGAAGTCTCCTCTGCACACTTGGGGAAAATTGTACCCATGTTCTTGCATGTTCTAGGGCTGTTTGTAGGCACCTGCTCACTTGCAGAGGTTCTGGCAGGTGGATTCCCCCAGGGGCACTCCCTGTTTGGGTGCTCATTGTCAGGGCACAGTGGGCTGCTGTAGCTTGCAGGTGGCCCCATGGAGCTGTGTGTTGGACTGAGCATCATTTCCTAGAGTTTTGCAGCCTAAAGAGAAGGTGTGCAGAGTGACAGGGAGGTTTGCCCTCAGACAGGCAGTTCTTTGAACCCCTCTGCATCTGCCTTGGTGTGTGATATTTTCCTTTGCATCACAGTTATACTGTGTGTCTTCCCCTGGAGAGCACATTCCGATGTGCACACGAATATCTTTTTGCAATGAAAGAAAAATTAGACATAAAGAGAGCTTGTAACCAAGAGAAAATTAGCTGCAAAAGCCACAATACCAAATGTGAGTCAACAAATACCAGGTCTGCTTCTGTTCCTGCCCTCTGCCCCTGCCTGGATGCTGGTGTCAAGCCCAGCCTCCTGTAATTGGAGGTCACAGCCACGGAGTGCATCCTGATGTGTGCCTGCCATCCGTGGAAGATCAGCCTTGTGCTGACCACAGCCTTGGTAATCTGAGTTTGCAGTCCTTTGTTGCATCCTGAACTCTGCAGGTCCATGTCTTCCTTTTCCACACAAAGCTGGAGGGCAGAGGAGGAGAGAAAATGACACATTTGCCCCTGGGGCTGATAAACTCAGACAGAAATCCAGGATGTTGGTATAGCTGAGACTGGACAAGTGCCTTAACATTAAACAGGAAAGGAAGCAGCAGCCTGTTAAAAAATCTGCAGTGCATCAAGAAAATTATGTGAAAACTACAACGAACTCGCCGTAAATTTAATAACACTTGGCTCTTTTATGTCTCAGGAGGGAAGAGTGAAATTCTGTGCAATTATTCAGAGTATATATGCATGTACACGTCTCTTTTTATGGGTACATATCCTGGGAAACACATCCTTAGAAATGTAGCTCCAATAAAAGCTTTGTGTTCTGCTCAGACCTGGAAAACAAAGAGGACACGGATAACCCTGTTTGGGGAGCACAGAGGGGCACTGCTCGCCAAGAAGCCATCAGATTTGGTTCCAGTTTAGGGTGTGCCATGAAATTCTGGAGCCAAGCACATTAGTTTCATCACATTTTTGCATTAATCACATTCTTTCACAGACTTCACAGTTTGATTGCCTGATGTTTCCAAATTTCTCTGCCCTAAAGCAGATTTGTCAATGGCTTAATCAAAGCGTTGTGCGTGGTGTGGCTGGTGCAGTGACAGTCTCACCCTTTTACCTGCTCTGTGCTGGGGTTTGTTGTGTTTTATTCCTCTGGACTTGGAAGCTGTGTGGGGGTTTTGTTGCTTATTTTGTTCTCTTGGTTGCTGTTTTCCATGAGAATTTCTCATTTTAAGGCACATTAGTGATGATTACAGCCAGGGTGTGTGTGGAGGTCCAAGGCCTCTGTACCTGCAGGTTCCCATTTCAGACCACTGATGTCATTCAGGATTAAGGGAGAGGAGCTGATACAGTTCCTTGGGGAAAATGCTTCCTCCTGGTCAGAGGTTGGTGGCAGTGTCCAGCTCTTGACTCACTGACAAGAGCTGGTTAAGCCCTGCTCACCTGAAGTCAGGTGTTGAAGCTGTTGACCTCTGTCAGGTATTAAAGCTTTCCTGTCAGAGTGGAGGGTAGCAGGCAGTCAGTGGGCTGGGAGCCTGTTCTCCTGGCCTGCAGAACTCAAAGCCATGTGGCAGATGGCTGGCAGGGTGAGCAGCATCAGTCCTGGAGTCCAAGCTAGACAAATGCATCAAACTGTTGTTCCTGAAATGCACAGAGACCCTGGCTGGGAGGATCAGGGAGTGTGTTTACATTTCTTGCATTCATAATTTGCTCAGCTCCCTGTTCCTTCCCTGCTGCATCATCCCAAAGTCATCCCAGGCTTCAGCAGCATCCTGGTGCCAGCCTTGTCACCCCTGTGAGCAGAGCAGGGCACTGAGGGCTGGGTGCTGAGAGGGGAAGGGCAGGTGCCTGCTCCTGAAGGACACTGCTGAACCCAGAGAGAGCTCCTGGGCTGGCTGCAGGGCTGCTGTTTGCTCATTCTGTCACTGTGCTTATGGATAAAAACCTCACCTTTTTGGAGTGCCCATAGAGCTCTGAGAGCTTTGTGGAAAGAAAGAGCATTGACTTGTTCTAATATAGATGGTGTGCGAGCTAATTAAGCGACTGAAATGAACCCATCTGAACATCCATGAAAGGTAAATGCTGCAGGTGCTCTAAGGATTTGAAGTTTTCTCAACACCTCCAGCTGAGTTGAGACTGTAAATAATTAATTAATCAGCCTGACTTCAGCTTTCAGGGTTTGGAGTTTTAATCTGTGTGTTAACTGCCTTCACACGGCCCATGACCTCCTGATTGCCTTCTCTGGACCATCACTGTTTCTCAGCCTCATTTGGCTGAAGCATGAGAGCCTGGAAGGCCCCATACACACTCCTGACCTCCCACAGGATGATTCCTTCCTCCCTGCAGGCTTGGAGAGGAGGCTCCTTGTCCCAGAGTGTCACCAGGGTCAGGGAGCCTCCACTGCTGCCAGGCTGGGATAATCCAGCTGTTGGGAACATCCCAGCTGGGTGCCTCAAGCAAAAGGGATGTCATGTGTGCTGCTTTGGTATAAATGCAACTTTTGGGTACATTAGTGTAAAGTTAATAGCTATAATCCATGAAAATTCTGCAGGAGTGTGGTCCGAGACACCTGTAAGTCATTTCAGGATGCCTGGTGTGAAGAATGAGCCTCAATTTGGCTTAACTTTCCATTTCCTCCCCCCTTTGTGCCCCATTACAGTCTTGCTTTGAGATTTCTCTGAATAGATTAGCAGATGTCCTTAGAGGCATCTGGTGGTAAAAGCAAATTCAGTGGCAGAATCCATCACAGCAGAATTCTGTATATAAACTCCATATGATCAGCAAATTGTGGGCCAGCTCATGTTGGGGGTTTCTCCAAATCATCCCCTTTTGGCTCTCTCATCCTTCAGCTGGCAAAGCTGATTTAAAAGCTCACAGCTGGTGCCACGTTGCAATCCTTGTTCCAGGTCCACTATAATTAAGAGCTATCTTCCTTTCAGAGGAAAAGCTTTTTGCATTTCTCTGCTGCAGAGGAACTGAGGGCTCCTGTTTGTGGTGCCTGCACAAACAGCTGGAAATTCCATGTGTGCTCATCAGCCCATGGGCAAGGGCTGCTCTTGCCTTTTTCCAGAGTCCTTAATTTTGTGTCAGTGAGGCCATCAACCTCCTGGAGGTGACCTCAACCTTAATCCCTGTGTTTTCATCACTGGAGAAGGCACCAAACCCCTGTAGCTCAGAACAAAACTCAGCAGCAATTGGAATTAATGCAGTTTGGAGAACTGAGTTGTTGGGAGTTTTACTTGGGCTTGAATTTATATTTCATTTTAGTAACTCTATTTAAGGATTGGGGTTATATTTCATCTTAAAAGATCAGTTGTACAAAAATGCTACATGGGATGAATTTCACAATTCCCCAAGGAGTTTGTTTGAGCTCCAAAGTGCCCCTCAATGGAAACTGAAGCTTGCCAGCTTAGCTCAGCTGACTACATAGAAAGGAATGTGGATTCTTTAAAAAAATATTGGGTTTAGTAATGCTGACATCCAGTTTTACTGCAATAGTCTGAGCTTTTATTAAAAAGAGAACATGACAGAAGGTGCTAGATAGGTTCTGACATCCACCCACCACCTGGACTCTGAGTGCTCACATTGTGTGTGTGGCCAGCATCAGCCTCCTGCCCATCAGCCACTGCTCAGCTTCTCCTCTCCCCCAGCCCCTTCACCACTGCAGGAGCGCAGCTCATGCAGGAACGCACTTTTCCTCTCCCTCTGAGATCTGCAGTGGCATATATGTCGTCCCCAGAGGAAGTTTGATCCCATGCCTAATGGGCCACTCTGTGGGCAAACAGTTTCCCTTGTGGTGGAGTTTCACCTACCACAGACCAAAGTCCCACTTCGCCAAAATAACAAAATGAGGAGCTGTGTTTCAGCTGGTGCCTTTCAGCTGTGTTTGGAGACACCAAAGTGAAATAATCCCACCGAGTGCTGACAGCAGTACAGTGGGAACCACCATTATCAGTAATGGAAACTAACTTGAGGAAACCTAAACCAAATCCTTTCCTGACCCCTAAAACTTGGGTGTTAAACCAGACGCAGCAATTGCTGACCCTCTGAGGAGGCTGCAGGCACACCAGTTTTTGTTTCCTGTTCTTCCTTGGTATTTTATCTCCTCTGTTAACACTTGGCAGACTGGCAGTGACTGGCAGGCCCATCGGCAGAGGTGTCAGCCCAGACTTTGCTGGCAGTGCCCCGAGATGTGACCTGGGGAAGGAGGGCTGGGAGCCAGGGAGAGCCCTGGGGAGAAGGGCTGGGAGCCTCGGGAAAGGATCAAAGCCCTCTCTGAGGAATTTGTTCCCCCAAATACGCCAAACAAGATTTTTGCTAAAAACAAAAACAAACAAGCAAACAAACCTAAAGTGGAGGAAAAAAAAATTAAGAAATAACAGTAGAGAAATGGGAGAAATGGGAAGGCCTTGCCAGGCTTGGTGTTGGTCTGGGGCCCCAGGCCAGACGGTCCCTCTCCCGGTGCTGATCCCAGCCTTGATCCCAGTCCGGGTCTCAGTCCTGGTGCTGATCCCGGCCCTTATCCCAGTCCCATCCCAGTTCCGGTCCCGGTGCTGATCCCGGTCTTTATCCCGGTCGCGGTCCCGGTGCTGATCCCGGCCCTGATCTCAGTGCCGATCCCAGTTCCGGTCCCGCTGCTGATTTCGGGCTTTATCCCGGTACCAGTCCTGCTCCTGGTGCTGATCCC